CCTTAAGCGCGACTTTCACATGTCTCCATAAAAAGTAATATGGCGAAGGTAGAAAATAAAAAAAGGGGCCGTCCCGAGGAACTGATTTGGCCCCTCCCATATTTTCCCTTTCTACGTTAGAATCCCAAGGAGCAGGCATCACTTAACTGATTCCAGTCTAGTATGCAGCACCAATTCCGTATCGGACCACATGCCTGTGCCAGCAAACTTCTTATCCAAAACATGGGATCGAAGCGGCTGGGCTAACGGTGACTCCGCCGCTAACAATGGCTGTACGTTGCCCATACATTGAAAACAGTCTGGAGAAATGCTGGAGGATTACTCCGTAGTTATGGAGCATATCTATGGCATAGCACATTTGTGCACCGTTCTCCGCGCGCTGACCGTCCCGAGACCACGGAGTTGAGGCCGCAGCCGTCGCTCGCCTTGGTGGCCAATAGAATCTATATTTATAATCTTGTTATCCACACTTTGTCAGAGGGAAATTGAGAGACCGCGCTATTGAGCGAACTAACTAATGGACGGAGATGCGGACGGGACTGGGACCAGGATGTTTTCATTTTTTTTTTTTGATCGTTTTGAATATTGGAGAATAGATCGAAGGCTACTGAGATTATGCATCTGAGTAATCATAAGGGGTTGATGGCGAGTTCCTGTCGCATAATCTCGTTCGCATAACCTCGTTTTCTCTTCCTTCTCTTTTTTCCATGACCATTTTTCTATTTTCCTTCTTCTTTCGGTTTTTTCTTTTCCTTCCATGCATGCGGTTCGTTGTTGGTTACGTTGGCGTTTGTTGGCCGACACCGAGAGGATGGGATAACTCACTCATCAAACGGTTTAAAGCCCTGCACCCCCATATCTTACTCGAGCTAGAATAATGACTTTGTTGTCGTTGTTGAGATTAGCTAGCCTTGCTTCCCGCAGCTGCCTCCGATCCACTCCCGCCGCCGTTGACCAAATGCACGGCATCGTTGGTTCTCAATATCGTCCAGCAACATCCTGGAGGTATAGGAACACTCACATATACGCATGGAATGGAGATGCGGATACCTCACTACGCACGCAAGTAAGAAACCACCCTGGCCACCATTTCTCGAAAAGTGATAAGTAGCGCAGTCCTAGTGCCTTGGTATCTTGGCTTTTCGGTTATTATATCCAGTTGTGATTTCTTTTGCAAGGATTTCATACGTACGTACCAATTCGACGGTTGTATGTATTGTACTTTACAGTGTATGGTTTCTCGAGTATCGCGACTTCATCAACCTCATCAACACATAAACAGACAAGGTCACGTTGGTGAATGTTGAAGAGGTTGGTTTCTTTTATGTAATATCGTGGCTGGCAGGCTGGTTTCTCTCTTGATACTTTTCGATACTCGATTGATCACTGCATGACATCTTATCTGACATCGACTAGGGTGATGGAGAGATTTTTTTTTTGGCTTTTGCTTCTGGCTCTGACGCTGGCTCCCATCACCAAGCAGACGATGTGACCTTTTTCACATATGCTCGACTGTATATGGCATAGTAGCAAAAGGTGAGACAAGGCGAGGCCAGGCGTACTGCATCCCCGGATTGACGACAGATCGAATTGAAACCATATTCGTATGGCACTTTTAGATCACCGATATAGGTGCTCTGGACTTATATCGACGGGACAGATTGAGAGTGAAAAAGGTCAGGAGCAGAGAGTTCATAGCCGACGATCATCGCCTCTCCAAATGGCCAGGATGTGAGTGTAGAGGTAAGTAGATCTCTTGTCATGTCAAGGATAGTCAATCTGTTCCCTAACACTCCACGTCGAACTAGTTTTCTCTCCATGATCGTTATTACCTTCTGTGTTATCGAGTATAATTTGCACTCTGCTCTTATCAGCCTCTCCGTACCACTGCGCAACTCAGTGAACGGTGCATTGCGTGATCAAATGCTGTTTTGTTTCGGAAGCGAGATTATGCTTATTTGGCATAGTCCCTGCTGAAACGGAGTACTGCCCAGTCAGCATGAGTATCAAGAAGAACATCTGCCCATGTTCATTTCAACCCCTTTTCCTTGGCTTCATCGCCAAGATGGTAATAGGATACGTCCTCTCTTCACTTGGCAGACTTAA